GCTGCAGTTCATCATCTCCGGGTGCCTCTCCATCGGCGCCGAGAAGAGCCCCACGGAATGCGCGGTGAGTTTTCCTGGGAGCACACCGGGAGTGAGCCCATGGGGTGGGTGGGGTGTCCCTCTGGGATTTTTAGGGGGGGGTCTGCCACTCCCTCCCAAAGCCCCCTGGGTGCCCGCAGGTGAAGGGCAGCCAGACCATGAACGTCATCAGTGCCATCTTCGCGCTCCTGGGAATCGTGGCCTTCATCGTGGACCTCAACCTCAACGGGCTCTACCGCTCCAACTTCAACTACTACAGCTATCTCGTCCTGGTAAAATCCCCCATGGTGGAATTCCAGCCTTTGGGAACCGCCCCAGGGCCTTTTCTCCAGCCCTTAAGGGGTGTTGTGCCGTTTCCCAAATCCCCGTTGGGGTGGCGGTTTCTCCTCTGCCGGCACGACCTATTTTAGGCTGGTACCTCGGGAGATGAGTCACCCCCTGGAAGCATCCACGAGCCATAAAAACGGCGGGATGGAGGGCTTGGAGCGAGACCTTGGAGCTGGGGATGCAGAGGGAGAGGAAGGGGGAGCTACAGAATGCTGCCCTGTGTGGGGTTTGTCCTCCTGGGTGCTGCTGGGGGGGTACTGATAGGGTTTTCCCCATCCTGGAGCTCGCAGGGAATGGGATTTCCATCGTGCTGCTCATCTTCACCATCCTGGAATTCTGCATCGCCGTGGCCACCGCCAATTTCTGGTGCCGGGCCACCCGCCTCAGCTCCAACGAGGTAGGAAGAGGGGGTGGTGGGGATGGACCCAAAAACTGGCTCCCATGATCCCAGTGTCTCCCATAATCCCCGTGTTTCCCAGGCAATGCTGATTGTCCCCAGTGCCACCCGTGTGGATCTGGCCGTGCCACCAGCGGAGCTGCCTCAGCCTCCCAGCTACACTGAGGTGATCCAAGGAATAGCCTGGATAGGAGCAGCATCAGCATTGGAATGGCTCCTGGGATGACAGTCCCCATCCTGCTGCCATCTGTGTCCCCTCCCTGTGAAAACATCCTACCCCAATCCCCAGGGAGCATCCTTGGGCATCCATCCCTCTGCTCTGGGAATGGGGAGGAGATCCCAAACCCCTCTGGGTCACGGGTGCTGGGGGGGGTGGGGTCCCCCAATTCCTGCCCCTTTTCCAAAACACCTCCTGGTCTCTTTGCAGCTGACTGCTCCTGAAGTCTGACACTGAGGATGCTGGAATGGGATCCTGCCTCCTTTGCTCCTAAATCCCAGGGCTACGGCATCCTCCTCCTACTGTGCTGCCGGCTGGGATGTGCTGGTCCCCCCCCAAAAAAGCCAGGGACACCCCCAAATTCCCTGCCCCTGTGCCCCTGGGCCTGGTCTGAGGGGCTCCACTTGCTGGCTGCTGTGGGAAGGGGCTTCTCCAGGGGGGAATCTTGGGCAATTCCTGCCTGTAAATTCCTGGTGGGGATGCTGGGGTTCACTCAAGTTGGGGTTCAGGAATTCCTGGTGGTCTGGTGGTTTGGAGTGAGCCTGATGTGTGCCAGGAGCCGGGTGGGTCACTGGAGCATCTACCTCGGCTCGTCCCCTGTTGGCTTCATTTTATCTTGGGAATAAATGCTCTCTCCGGGCTTGTGTCTCCTGAATTTGGGAATTTTCAACATGGGAGCTACACTTCCCCCTCACAGAGCTGCTGTCCCTCAGGAAAGAGGCTCATCCTGCCTGATTTAGAGATACCTGCTCTCTCCTGAGGGAATTCTGCCCCTGCTGAACTGAAAACTGCTTGCTTATCCTGAGGGGAATTCTGCTCCCCTAAACCCCTGGCTCTTGCTCCCAAGGGAGTTTTGCTCCTCTAAACTCCTGGTGCCTGGTCTCCTGAGGGAATTCTGCCCCTCTAAACCTCTCTCCTGAGGGAATTCCATCCTCCTAAACCCCAGTACCTGATTCTGATGAGGGAATTCTGTCCCCATAAACCCCTCAGTACCTGCTCACCTGAGGGAATTCCACCCCTCTAATCCCATCTCCGGCTGGAATTCCACCCTCCAAACCAGGGTACCTGATCTCCTGAGGGAATTCTGCTCCCCGAACCCCCCACATTCCAGCACAGTTCCGCTATATTTAGCTGGGCTGGAGCAGCCGGGCAGCCGGCGGCGATGCCGGTGACGCCAGCACATCCCGGTTCTTCCGCCACCGGAGAAGCCGCCCCGGGGCTGGAGCTGCTCCGTGGGGTGACGTGGGGACACCGGTGCCGTGTGCTCCCTATTCCCACAATCCTGGGTGGTGAGAATGCAGCTGAGGGGTGCTCCCAAACCTTATTCATGCAGCAATTCCTAAAAAATTTCTATTTTCAGGGAAGCAAAAGGACTCTGGGATCATTTTGAACAGGACCAGGTTTGTCAGCTCCTGACAAGTTCATTTATGGGTCCACCCTTAAATAGCCTGCATCTGTGGGAATGCTGGTGGATTTAACGAGGGGGTGATGAGCATCCAGTGGCATCAAGTTATTTAAGGAGCATCCCAAGCTCATGGAAATAGAAAGGTGGGATGGAGGTGAGGAAAGAGATCCCAGTGCCGATTTTCCAGGGGGTGGGAACATCCTGGTGAGTTCCCAGTGCCTTGTGGGAAGATTTCTGGGGTCAGTATCCATTCCAAATTTCCCCTCCAGTGCCAGAGTGGGACCGGTGACCTCCACCTTCAACATTCCTTTTGGTTTTGGGGTGACTTAAGTGTTTTCCTTCTCCTTTCTACACTCCCTGACAATGCTCTGGCTGCTCAGCCAAAGCCTCATGGATTATTCACTCCCTGTCAGTTATTTCTGTTCCCGGCTCTGAAAAAATAATGAGCCTGATCAGTAGGAAAAGCCCCAGGGATTTTGGGAGCAGGATGAACAGGCTGTCTTTGCTCATCCCGTGGCCACAACCCATTACGGCTCCAGCTCCTCACCTGCGGCTCTGGAGCATCCCGGCCTCTCCCAGCTCCATGGGGACCACCACAAAGCCATCCCACCTCCCATCCAAGCTCTGTGTTTTCCCAGTGTGGTGGTTTCCTGGGAAGGAGGCTTCCTCCTCTTCCACTGGCATCAGGGTCTGTTTTCCCAGAGTATCCCAGTGTTCAGAGGTGGCTTTCCCTGAAAATACTGGAATAAGTGTTGAAGGCCCTATGGAAATGTGGGAGGTTTTAGTACATCTTTTTTTTGGTTGGGAATTTGCAGCCCTGGGAGGGGGAGTGGGGACATCCAGGAACTGGGAATGGCAGGTAACAGGGACCACAGAGTTTTGTGTCCCTGCTGGTGATGACCCTCGAGGAAAACCAAAACCCTTGGAGGAGGAGGAGGAGGAAGGGGAAGCTGTGGAATGAACTGGGGTGTCCCAATGGCTCTTCCCCTTGGGAAGAGATGGATCTTTGGAGACTCTTCCAGCACCTGAAGATGCCCCAAGAGAGCTGGAGAGATACTTTAGAAAAGAGCCTAGAGTTCCAGGACAAGGGGGAATGGCTTCCCCCTGCCAGGGGTTGGGTTTAGATGGGACATTGGGAAGAAATTCTTCCCTGTAAGAGTGGTGAGGTGCTGGAATAGATTTCCCAGGGGAGCTGTGGCTGCCACATCCCTGGAAGTGTTTAAGGTCCCATTCCAGGATTGCCAGTGGAAGTCAATGCCAGTAAAGCCTTGGAGAAATACTGGAACTTTTCTGCAGCCTCAGTTTTCCTGGGAATGAGCAGATCAAAGGCTGGAATGTCACGTGCAGGGGTTGATGGACACATCTGGAACAGGGTTTGGGAGCAATGTCACCATGTCCCAAATGCCAGGTATGGATCGCTCCAGCAGGCAGCACTGCCCCCTCAACCTCCTGCCTGCTCCCAGCTCCAGATTCCATAATCCAGGATGGACACTGGGATGTTTAAAGCAAAAAAACCCGAAACCTCTCCCAGAAAACATGACTTTCCTTCTGGAATCAGTATGGAAAAAGCCCTGTGGGAAGCAGAAACACCTGGAAGCAAAGCAAAATGTTGACTTTTGGTATTTTTATGGGGATATAAAGTTTGTCCCAGGAAGTAGCAAGTTTCTGTGGAGAGCTTTTCTCCACTGTAATCTATTTTCTTTGGAAAAAACCTCATGGATTTTGGGGTTGGAAAAAGAATTTCAGTTCCACCAGGCTCATAAATTTTGTCCTGTGTTGGTGGGAGGGAATGTAGGAGGGTCTTACTGATCCCCCCAGAGCATCCAGCCAGGCTTTCCCCATCCAAAACTTGTCCTAGAAAATAGGAAAATGAACATTAAAATCCAAGGAATGTGTTGTATATATCTACAAAGCCAAAAGTTCCTGTAAAGAAAAGGTTGGAAAGCTCCACCGCCCGGCCTTGCTGCTTCCCTGCATCTGCTTCAAAGCTTCACCTCCTCTGGAATCCGCTTCCAAAACAAATCCCAACATCCTACCTTGGGCTCCTGCCATCCCCAGCTGGACCTGGGTTAATTTAGGAAGGGGGAAAGCGCTTTTTCCATGGGTAACTCGCTCAGAAAGTGGGGTTTGGGGGGCTGAGGGCAGTCACGGCTCTTTCTGGCTGCAAGGCTGGAACTTCAGGAATGCTGTAGGAATCTGGAAGGGCGGATTTGGGAGGAAATCCACCGTGTAGGGTGGTTTTGGCTGGGAATGTGAGCCGTGGATAATGGTGGAGGATACCCCGGCTGCCTAAAGGCTAAAGAGGGGATCCCAGAATTTCCACGGGGGCTCAAGTGTTCCTTCCCGGGGCTGGAACGAGATCCCTGGGATTGTTAGGATTGGAGTGTTGAGAGGAATAAGGCACCAGCAGGAATTAAAGGCTCTGAGACATCAGGAATGTGATGAAGAGGCTGAATCACATCCATGTCCATGTTTTTCCTGGAAAGCTGTGCTGCCAGATGCAGCCCTTTACAAGGCCAAGTGTATGCTTCCATCAGGGATGCAGGATGGAGGAAGGTCATGGGTGGGATGGAGGAATGCCATTGGAGCCAGGATGGAGACGTGAGTTGCTGCTCTTTGCTTTCCAGGTCTGTTCTTCCAGCTCTTTTTTGGGATATGTTTTAGGCTGGTTTGGAGGGAGTGTCCCATTCCCTGGTGTGTGGGAGCTTTGAGAGGGTGCGGAATCCTGGAATGGTTCGGGGTGGAAGGAACCTTAAGGATCATCCAGTTCCACCCCACTGCCATGGGCAGGCACACCTCCCACTAGCCCAGGTTGTTCCAAGCCGGTTCCAGGGCTGGAAGCCTCTCCCGAGCTCTGGAAGAAGCTTTGTCTGCTTCCAAACGCGGCCTCTCAGCTCCCTCTAGAGCCACAGGGAAGGAAAGAACTTCCAAAAGTTGCTCCACCCGCTCCCGAAATCGTCAGCTGGAGGGTCCTGTACTTTCCCAGGCAGAGACAGAGGTGTTGGGGCGATGCCCAAATCCTGGACCTAAAAATTCCCGTTCTGCCAAGAAATTCCTACCCTGCACATATCAGACATCCAGGAAACCTGAGGCGTCCTCCAGGTGCCCTGGGGTATCCCAATGCTCCTGGAGAAAAGGACATGGCTGTTTTTCTGGGAGGAGGGAGGGATGGAGGCAGGAAGGGGCCTTCAAATCCCTCGGGATCCCCTTGCCATGTGTGGTGCCTCCATTCCCAGCCTGAGCTCCCATTTCCCATCACAAATAACAGCATCTCCTTTCCCTCTGGCTCCTGATGGAGATTTGTCAGGGAACGCAGAATCCCTCCTGTGTGTCCTCACTGGGGAAAAATCCACTGGGATAGAGGAGGGAGAATTCCTAAATATGGCAATGAAGGAGCTTCCTTTATAACAGGGTTTATAAAATTTCCTGTTTCAATCCGAGTTTTTCCTAGGAAGTGGGCAGGGTTAGGTTATGAACACCTGGTTAGGAACCAAGCTAATTGCAGGAGTGATTCCCAAGCAAAGCATCCACAATTTGGGATGAAAGGACTTGCTCGATGCTGGTAAAGGGGGTCTTGGAGCATCATGAGGGAAAAGCATCCAACCCTTCCCAAGGCTGCCGAGCCCGGGGAAGGGCTCCCTGTCGCTCCCTCCCTCTTCCCATGCAGGATTTTGGGAGCCTCCATTGGCAAAGCTGCCTCGTTGAGCAAGAGGGGCCTGACGAGAATTCCATGAGCGAGCTTCCTGCAGGGAGCAAAGGGCAGCGGGAGCGTGTCCCTGCCTAGCCGGCACCTCCCGGGGATTTCGGACAGCAACAGGACCACGGCGAGGAGGAAGAGGAGGAGGAGGAAGGCACCTGGGAATTCCTTCATCTTCCCAGGCTCATTTCCAGGCCATGGCGGCCACCACGGTGACTGATGCCGGCAGCGTGAGGATCATCACGGAGGTGATCCCAGCCACGGATCCGCGGGCGGCCCAGCTGGCCTCAGGCTCCCAGGCACCTGCACAGACGTCATTCCAAACGCGAGGCTTCCGGAAGGCTCAGCCAAAGGTGTTGGGGGTGAGACATGGCCTTCGAGGGGCCCAGCAGGGATTGGGGATCTGCAGGAATTGTCCTGCTGGAGGTTCTCCCTGTCTGGGTGGAGGGGACACTGGGACAGGTGCCTCTCCCAGACCCTTCCCAGGACTGGGCTGTGGGATTGGGGTGGGATGCGTCTCACAGCAATGGGATTGGGATTCCTCTCCCTCATCCCTCCCTAGACCATCCACATCTTCAGTGGAATTGTCCACATCTGCTTCGGGGTCATCCTGACAATGTCGGAGCACAAGAACCCTTCCCTCCCTGTGGCCAGCGGGATCCTCTTCTGGCTGGGGATCCTGGTAAGTTGGGATGAGGACATAGGAATCTCAGGGAATCCTGGGGGACTGGGGACAATATCCCAGGGTCACCAGGTCTCCACTGACACCCCACGCCCCCACGTGCACATTCTGGGGTGTTTGTGTATCCCTGAACCATAATTCCCAGCTGGAGGGACACCAGGATGGGGTGGCAGGGAGGAGGGGTGCCTTCCTGCTGACATCAATTCCCGCTGTTCCAAGTAGCTCCTGGTCTCGGGCTCGCTGCTGGTGGAAAGTGAAAGGAGAGACAGCCCTGTGCTGGTAAGATCCAGGCTGGGAGGGACAACGTGTCCTCCCATTCCTTACGTCCCTTCCAGCAGCTGCCACCGCTCCACAGCCTGGATTCACCCCACAGGATCCACAGGCCAGTCTCCCCCTCGGGAAGTGCCAAGCTCTCCCACATGGAGCACAGGATGGGGGTTGGGGTCACTGTGGGATAAGGGGGATAAAAGCTCCAGGAGACCCTCACGGCCTTTGGAATCACTGTGGGATGAGTGGGACAAAACCGGGCAGCTTCTCCAGGAGGTCTTTGATCCCAGTTGAACAATCCATGTGGGAAGCAGCCCTTCCCGGGGTCCATGTCACCGGGTGCTTCCCGCAGGTCAAGACCTGCTGTGTGGTCAATGTGGGCGTTGTCCTGGGCACGCTGGTGGCCACCGGGATCCATGGCACGGCCATCATTCAGAACATGCCCGGCTGCGGGAAACCCGGGCCCTTCCAGATCCGCCCGGAATGGTGCCTCAGCATGAACAGCAAGGTACGGACACCCGGGATTGCGCCGGGGAATCCGGAGCCTCCCGAGTGGGGTGCTCAAGGATCCAGGTCCCGTTCGGGTGGTGGATCCCGGTGGATTCCCGTTCTCCTCCTCCTTGCAGGTCCTGAGCAACGGGCTGGATTGCACCATGGTGCTCCTCGGCCTCCTGGAATTCTGTGTGGCCGTGGCGGTCCTGGCGTTTGGATACGACACGGTCCGGCAGCACACATACAGCCCGCTGGTGAGGGAGGCGGGAATCCCTGGGAATCCCTGGGAATCCCTGGGAATCCCTGGGAATCCCTGGGAATCCCTGGAATGCTGATCCACTCCTTCCCTCCTCCGAAGGGCCGCCCCAGTACGGGCGTTCCTGCGTGCCTCCCAGAGATTTCCCTGGATTTCCCTGTTTCTCCTTTCCCAGGCGCTGTAGCCACGGCCAAGCCCCGCACGTGGTGCCGCATCCCGGAGGGGGGTCCCCGGTACCGGATTCACCTGGGATGCCCTCAGCGTGTTCGGCCCCCAATAAAAGCCTCTCCCCCAGCCCAGCCCGCGCGTGTCTCTGGGGGTTACTCGGGGTGCGGGGGGGGTTCGGCCCGGGTGTGTTTGGAGGA